GCAGAAACCTTGAGTTCAATTCTAGTACTGCAAAAACAACAGCAACAAAAAAATCACAGTTGCTTTTGCTTTCAGCATCTATAGGTTCTGTATTGTAGAATATAGTCTTCTTGGAAGGGGCCATTATTCATTTTACCATGCTACCTTTCTTATTACTTCTAGGTTCAGTTTTCTTTTTCTGAGTTGTTAGCTGTTTTAATCTTTTTTGACTTGTTGAGAAATATGACAACAGTTTAACAACTTTTTTTCTCTCGGTTGATTTCAGAATTTGTCTGGTCCTCCACTTCAACTTGTGTAAGTAGTTTTATTTTTCATGGCCAGAACTCAGTGTACTATTTTAATCTCAGTATTTTTTATTTTGAACCAGTTTGAAAATTTCATGGCTATTTTCTATTCACTTATCTCTCCTGAATTTGCTAATACCATTCTTCATGTCTTTCACATTTTCCCTTCATTTATCTGAACCTTGTAGTTAATTTTTCTCAGAATCATCTTTCATTTCTTTATTTCTTTGGTTCTAATCTGTTTACTTCACTGAAGGTCTTGTTTTTTGTTTTTATTTTTTGGTTCTGGTATTGAACCCAGAGTCTCACCCATTCTAGGTGCTATACCACTGAGCTATATCACTAGCCCTTCATGTAAATTTTTATTTTCACGACTATATGATTCAAAATGATTCAAAATGTAAGTCTTTATGACTTCCTTATGATTATATTTGTTTTCTATTTTTCATGGATATTCAGATATCTCCCCCCACACACACACACACACACACACACTAGACAATCTCTTGGCTCTTTGCATTCAGTACTAGAGTTTTCCCAACAATTTTCTTGGAATTTTAGCTTCTGATGTCTGCCTGCCTGTCTCTGTCCTATCCCATTTAATCCTTTTTTTCCCTTTCTGTTAGAGTAGTTTGCTGGGCATGGTGATGTGTGCTTATAACCACACGTTTGGTGAGGCTGAGGCAGGAAGACCACAAAGTTGAACCCATACTAGACCATTTAGCAAGACCTTGTCTCCAAATGAGTCAGTCAGTCAATCAGTCAATCAATCAATAAGAGAGAGAGAGCGAGCTGGGAATGTAGCTCAGTACAAAGGTACTAAATTCAATCCTTAGTCCCAGAATAGTCCTGTAATTTTCTCCTTTGACCTAATAAGTATCTTGTTACTGTGTTCCTAACTAATGACTGTATCATTAAGAGAGCTTTTTATTGCAGTTCAGATATTTTTTGGTTTCAGTAGCACAAAATGAATTTAAGAGGTTTTTAAATATACTATCACCTATTAATAATTGGTATTATAATAATTATGTTCTTTTAAAGATTTGATAGAAACGTTAAGCATGTTCACAGAGATGAAGAGGACTAGTGACTGTAGTTATTCTGTACTGTAGCTACCCTTTAGTTCTTTCCATAGCAGTTGATCCACATTTTTGTTTTAACAGGAATCTTTTTTTTTTTTTTTTTTTTTTTTTTTTTTATCAGATCACACTTACGACCTTGCACTTGCCAGGCAGGCATTTGTGCCGCTGAGCTATATTCCCAGTCCCAACACAGGCATCTTCTGAACTACACTTTAGGTTTTTCGTTTGTTTGCTGACCTATACTTATTAAGAAATTCTCACTCTTTTTGGAGACAGAGTTCTGCCTTTTGGGAAATTACTAGAAATGACCAGTTGTTTACTAAGGCTGTCTGGTGTTAATTATGTGATACAGGGAAGAGATCAAGACAGGACAGGAAATGTTTTAGTAACTTTCTTAAAACTTTGAAAATTTTTCCATTCCTGTTAGGACTGTTGTAAAAGCTGTCCATCTTTTTCTAAGAAGACATATTAAGGCTAAAACTATGTATCTATTACTAGCTTTACAAATATCTGATTCTACTTTTTAATATACATGTATTTTATAAAAAGCACCAAGTTCTTTAACTCTTTTGAGAAATGTACATTTTCTCTCAAACTCATCTTTTCTAATTTCAACTAGGGTCATTATAATTTTTTTTCTGTTCTTTGGATAAAAAATTAGTTTGCATCGTGCCAGGTGTGGTGGCACATGCCTGTAATCCCAGCACTCAAGAGGTTGAGGCAAGAGGATTATTGCAAGTTGGAGACCAGCCTGGGCTATAGAGATAGACGGAGCTCAAGGCCAGCCTGAACTGCATAGTGAGAATTTTGAAAAGATAAGAAACCTGACTTCTAGCCACTACTGGTCTGGGCCCCACCCTCCCAAAGCAATTTTATTGGGCAAGGGACATAGCTCAATAGCACAAGTACCTATCTGGCAAGCACAAGGTCATGAGTTCGATCCCCTAGTAACAAAACAAAAAAACCACAATCTTAACCATTTTCTGCTCCCGAAAAGAAAATTTCATTCTAATCAGTACAGTCTACTCATTGCCCCATATTCATTTCTCTAATCTCTTTCCTTTCTCTGTTTCTCCACGTCCCAGGAAGCAGCTCTTTATGCTAACTGAATGTGAGTTTTGTCTGGAGTTGGGAGAACTGTGTGTTGTAGAACACTGAATTCACTGGGTCAAGAAAAGAGTCGTGGGGCTGGGGTTACTTGTTTTTTTCTCTCTCCTGTTCTGAAAATAGTTTAGATCACCAGTTGCTTTTTGTTCTGCTTTGTTATATCCAACTGTATGTATATACCTGAAATATAATTGCAGAGCTGACTGTGGTGGTGCGCACTTACAGTCCTAGCAGTTCTGTCATTTGCAGCAATATGGAGAAACTGGAGACTATGTAATAGGTTAAGTGAAATAAGTCAAGCACTGAAGGCTGGATACCGTATGTTCTCACTTACCATATATATGGAATCTGAAGTTCCTCTCCCTACGAGTAAAGAATGGAATGGTATTTACTAGATCCTAGACAGAGGGACAATTGGAGAGAGAATGATTAGTGGATACAGAGGATAACTGGATGAGTGAAAAAACTTTTAAGGTTCTACAGCAGAGTAAGATTTCTGGTTGACCACAATTAATTGAATTCTTCAAAATAGCTAACAGGATTTTGAATGTTATCAACACAAAGAAATAATAGCATTTCTGAGATGCTAAATATGCCAAATACTGATGTGATCTTGTGCTTGTCAGATGAAGGTGTAAAGGTGTATGAGGTATAAAATTACTGTGTCAATTAAAGATGTAAACTTACTATGTCAATTAATACATATAGAGAGAGAGACACACACACATACATATTTGGTACCAAGAATCAAACTCAGGACTTAACACTTGCTAAGCATGCACTGTACCACTGAGCTATATCTTCAGCCCAAAAGTATGTTTTAAAAATGAAAAAAATATTAGTGACCATGCTAGGCAAGAAACACGAGAGACTGCTTCAGAGACTGTTGAGATAAACTAAGAAATTGGGATGACCCAGATGAGAGTGGTAACAGTGATCCTCCTGCCTCAGCCTCCCAAGTGCTGGGATTACAGGCGGGCAACCACCACCATCTAAGAATCTTATACCTAGATATCAAAAAGGAAAACTTGCTTTTTTCCAGAAAAGTAGTTCAGTGCCATTCACTGAAAAACTGTCTTGAGGCTGAAAGAAACAAAACAATCCAAATATTCCTTAGACAAATAAACAAAGAGTCTTCAGACTCTTGCTCATTTATTTTGCTTTGTAACCTATTATTTCCTTTCTCTTGTGTGCTTTTCCCTTGAGTTGATGTCTTGTTATGTTGTCGAGGGATCCTAGAACTCTTGCCTCAGCCTCCAGCATAACTGAGCTGAGACTACAAGTGCACATCACTATGTGTGAAATCACATCTTTTTGTTATAACTATGAGTAATTTTAAAGGCCATACTTCCTACTGTGTGTTTATGTTAACTATATTTTTTGATAAAACTTTAATACTGCAGATTAAGATCACTTAACACTATCTACCATATAATGTAATTTAAACCAATTCTCATTTTCAACCTGTAGGGAACTTCTGAGCCTGGAGATTGATCACAAGTTTGGGGCAGTAGGAGAACAATGAACACCCCTGGCAAACAAGCTGCTCCAGCCCAGAAAACCTCAGGCTCCAAGGCAATCCAGGCAGTGGGTTATAAGGCAAAGGGGTGTCACATGACTTTATCTTGCTAAATGTATAAACACATGCTCCTACAGTGGTTGAGCAGTTCCTTTCCTCCCATCAGGAGAGAGGGCTCCATTTGACCCCAGCTTTTGTCTCTTTTCTTTATTTTCCCATCCTCTTGCCACCCACCCCCCACCCTACCCCACCCCCACTGCATCAAGACACTGCATAAACCTAAGTTAGAACTCTTAGTGTACTAGGAAACAAAAAACCTAACATATATCTTAAAACAGACGTATTAATATAGATGTCTTTATTATAACCACTAGACTTTTGAATTCTAGACTGACCAGCTGGAAAAATAAATTAGGCCCTGATCGTATTTTATATCTTTTCTTTCAAGGGATTTCGCTTTTCTTTTAATTATCTCTTTTTTTGATACTTTGGAGATCGTATATCTCAGAACCAAGTATCTTGTCATGTTTGAGATAGATAGGAACTTTGCCTTTTATAAAGTGGGGAATGATTTTTTTTGTTTTTTTGTACCAGGGATTGAGGGAAATGATTTTTAAAGGGGAAGATAGACAAGAACTAGTTCTCTTCTGTTTTGTTTTGGTACTTGGGATTGAACTCACAATCTTGTGCTTGCCAAGCAGGCAACTTTATTCTACTTATTTCTGTTTGGGTTGAAACTCCATGCCTTATGTGACCCTTGGTTTTCCTTTTTCCACTTGTTTATTCATTTTCTATGTGTGTTAGATTGTGTCAATTGCTGGGAAAACCTGTAAGACTTGAAATGGTTTGAAAGTTGCTTTGTCATAGTACAGATTCATGACACAATGTCTTGCTATTTAGCTATGTAGTATATAAGAGCAGAAAATAAAGTCATTTGTGTTTCACATAAAAAAATTGTAATTCATATACTAAGTGATCTTTATTTAATTACTTTCGCATATTTTTTAGGTATGGAATATCAAACAAATGATTAAGTTGACGCAGGAACACATAGAGGCCCTATTGGACAAATTTGGTGGAGAGCATAATCCACCATCAATATACCTGGAGGTAAGCCTTTGAATATCATATCTGTCGTCATTTTGAAACAGAAAACATAATTTATAAAAAGCATTTGTACTGATAATCTTGGTTATTTTAGGAGGTAAGGTTAGAAGTAGATATTAAAGGAGAATTAGTTTTTGCCTTTATTATATTTCTTAGTCTGGTTTTAATTATTACAGTACATGCACATTACTTTTATAATTTGGTAAACATCAAAACTAAGTAAGGAATATGTCCTCCATAAACTTTAGAGTATTACTTCAAGGAAAGAGCACACTGGTGATCAGCAAAACTAGTTACCATAGCAAAATGGGGCAGTTTTGTGAAATATCTTTTCCAGAACAAGTTCCATCAGAATTGGTTTCTGGTTCCTTATAAACAATGAAATTTATAATCTTAAAAATATCCCTGTATTGCCTACCCTTTCTAATAGTGCCTTGAGGTTGTGTCAAGTCTGGAGCACAATTGTAAATTTATAGAGTTAGTCATTGTTCTTAATCCCAGGAGATAGTAGGTAGTATCATAATCACAGATAAGCCTCAGCTTTAGTTTCTTTTGGGCATCAGTCAGGTTCCACAGATAGCAAGCTGTTGTGGAATCCAGGCAGTCAGGTTCTACAGCCCACACTGCTCACCACTTATCCTTCACTACTTCTCCATATAAAAGATGGCTCAGCTATAATCACTAGTCACATATATAAATAACCCTAAATTATCAATCATCGGGTTACCATTTGACTCCAAATGCCACGTTTTTTTTTTTTTTTTAATGTCAAGGTTTTTAAAGCACAGATTGTAAGATTCCTGTTTCAGTTTCTGATTTAGTAATCCCACCACTTTTTAAAGGATAAATCCTTACTAGTTCATGAGAAAGCAAGTATGAATTTCTAAAATGAATCCTGAATGGGCGTGGTGGCATGTGCCTATAATCCCAGCACTCAGGATTGCTGCAGTTGGAGGCCAGCCTAATCTATGGAGTGAACCTCTGTCTCAAAAAAAAGAATCTTGGGAGTTTGAAAATACCAGCTTAGTAAATTGTTCTTTTTTCTCTTCATGTATGACTGAATGTGGATCACACTGTTAGTATCAGTGCTAGAACCAGAATTCTTTATTTTTGGATGCTAACCAGTTAGTGTGTTTTCTAGTATTCCATGCTGTCTCCTTCCCTTGAATATCTGAAGAAGCCAAGCAAAGGAATAATGAGAAACTGATAATCCCTTGTTAAATAGAATGAGACAGTATATGTGACAGTTTGTCTGTCAGTTATTTCTGTCTTTGGACTGTCCTCGCTCATGTATAGGACGTCTGCACCAGTTACCCTGTCTCACTAAGACTCACTGCCTCTCTTCACTGCCTCCTCTATATACACACTTCCTATTTTTTACTATTTGAATACTAATCAATAACAATAACAAATCTTTGAGCTTACTCTGGGCTTGGTACTATGTAAAGTACATTTATTAATCCTTACGGTTACTTTAAGCTAGGTGCTAGGTTGTAGAAATTTTTGTTACCACTTTTTATAGATGAAGAAACAGAGAGGTTAAGTAAGAAAATAAAAGAATACCTAACTGGCCAGTCATGGACCAAAACCTCTGAAACTGTGAGCCAAATTGAACCTCTCTCTTCTTCATGAAGTTACTGGTGTCAGGTGTTTTGCCCAGCAACAAGACAGCTGCCTAATACAGGGTCCCTTGAGACTTTATGTGAATTTTATAAAGGATTGTTCATTCCCATAAACACATCATCAGGATTTTAATGGGAACTGCATTGAATCTGTAGATTGTCACTATTAGTATTGGCATTTTGAGAGTTTTAAACAGGTTTTTTGGAGGGAAGGGAGGTACTGGCAATTGAACCCATGATGTTGCACTTGCCAGGCAAGAATTTTAAACCCTTATATATAAATAAATAGCTAAGAATAACTGCTTGAGAAAAGCTTTTAACGGGAACAAGACAGTAAAAATGGCCACAGGAACTCAGACACAGTGCAGAGAACAGAAGAAAACTTGAAAATAATTATACTTAGCATCATAGACAAGTGAAGATACAGTAATCCACTGTCATTTGACAGGTGTTCTGAAAAAGCAAAAGCAATAACAAGAAAGAACCTCTTGAAGGAGCAACTCATTTTCAGGCCCCCCTTCTGTGTTAGATGGAGACTATCATTCAATAAATTCTTCAAGACTACTCATAAAAAAGATATTCTTGGAAACTAAAAATATAGCAAAAAAGAAACTGCATGTGTATGTATATATATGTCCATAGATATATATGTATGTGTGTAGATAAACAAATGTTGAAAGATAAATGTTTCAAGAAGCAGAATAAAAATGAAAATAGAAAATATTAGGATCAGAAAAATTAGAGAATAAATTCAAACTTATAAAATTTTAAGTATTTTTAGTTGCAAGAAATAGAAACCCCCAAGAACAGATTACTAAAACAAATACGAATTTTATTTTCTCTTCATGTAACAAGAAGCATGGAATAAATTACACTGACTGGTTGTACACTCAGGTTGTCAGCCTCTGGTTGGATCAGTGCAGTTTGTTTGGCTTTTCTGTCAAGACTGCAGCAGATAGGCTGGGCATGGTGGTACATGCCTATATTCTTGGCACTCAGGAGGCTGAAGCAGGAGGATGTCTGTGACTTTGAGGCCAGCCAGGGCTACAAAGTGAGTTCAAGGCCAGCCTTAACTGCATAGTACAACCCTGTGTCAAACAAACCAAAAAAAAAAAAAAAAAGGTGGCAGATGTGAGGAACTTTCTATCATGAAACTCCTCAGCACAAAGCAGAGAATAGAAGAGAAAGATTCTCTTGAATACTGAGCACTTGCTAAAAGGAAACTATATCTTATTAACCAGAATGAGGTCATTGTCACCCCTAGACCTGTGACTATTCTTGTATTTGCTGAAATAAAAGGCTTAAGAGCTAAATTTTTCAAGTATTCACAGTTTTTTCTGAATAGCCTGTGTATTGACAAAGTGTGTGTGGTGGCTTAAATAATGGTCAGCTTACAACACCCAGCTAAACTGAACCAGGGTGGTGCTGGGTATGGAGGGCCCATCTGAGAATCATTGCCAACAGCATAAAAGAACTGGAAGGGAAGATGATGTGCTGTTGATTTTCCTGGAGAAGCTTGTCACACTGGTTTTCCTGATACGAACTCAGCTTTTATTCTTGTCAGAGGATCTTGAATCCTCGCTGTGACTGGGGATGGCTGTGGTTCTCTTTGGCAGAGCTCTGATTCTTACCTTGAGCATTGCTTCCTGGCTCCAGTGCAGGTCCCTCAGCCTGCTGGCACAAATCCTTCATCCCACTAGCACAGACTTTCAAGCTTCCACCATTGACCTTCCCAGTGAGAATCCTTAACATAGACTTGCATGAGACATTGTCGTGGATCTCTAGGCCCACTGCTGGATTCTTTGGGTCTCTAGTGGTGGACAGATCTCTGGCACACTCCTGCATTTGACTGGTAGAGTGAATGTAAAATAATCTTATAAATTATGTGTCCTGTATTAAATCTGCTTTCTAGAAAACTCTGACTACAATGTTGTACTACAGTTATTTCATCTGTGGTATTTCAGCAAAAATCCTTTTGATGTTTCTGCAGGGAAATAAATTGTTAACTACCTATCTTTGCTTTTCCTCTTCTTGGAAGCAAAACAGAAATTAATTATATCACAATCAGAAATCCTCTTCATTTTCTTTTTCCATTTACCAATTACTTAAAAATCAACTTTTAAATTGTTCAAGATTTTCTCCTAATAGACAATAAGTAACATTCTGTTGATTCCCTTTATAACTATAGTGAAATGAGCAACAGTGCTCTAAAGAATTTTGAATTGGTCTTCTCAGTCAATGTATTTCTCCCTTTTCCTCCAGTTTTCCTGTATCCATTCATCAACAAATAATCAGAATACTTTCTATGTATACATGACACAATGTGAAATGTTCTTCAAATAGTAGATGCCTTTTTCTGTACCTAATCTAGTATAGTGGAGTTAAAGAGAAAATGCTTTTGAAATTACCCTCCATGTCTAATTTTGTGACAGTTGATTCCTGATTATCTTAGAATGTATGGGTCTGCTACATTCTGATGAAGACAAAATAGCTCCTAAATTTATTAAGTACTTGCTGTGGATCAGGTACTTACTGAATATACAGTAGCTCATTTAATCTTCAGTCTTCCCTTTTGAGTTACACCTACTATTATCATTTTTGTTTCTTAGCTGAAGAAACAAAAGCACAAAAAGTTTAATAATCATGTGTTTAATCATATACTCAGTATGTGAAACCAGATATTTTGAATTCAGAGCCTGTGCTCTCAGTCATGAAGTCATTGTTACAATGTTTGGCAGCTTTTTTGACCCTTAGTGTAGAGCCCAGGACAATACAGAAACATTTGAACAACTGTGCAATAAAAGAGCACTCAAAGCTAGATGCTTCCTGTGGAATGCAGAGCAGTTAATTATTTATATATGTGTGAGCAGTTGGTAAGATTTGATTGTAGCTGGGGATTTATCTCAGTGGCATAAGCGCAAGCCATGTAAGCGCGTAGTCGTGACTTCAATCCCCGGTACTAAAAAAAAGATTTGATTATATACTGTGAGATTAAGCTAAGTAAGAATAATGATATATAGAGAAGGTTAGTAAGGATTGAACTCACGGCCCTGTGCTTGTCAAGCACATACTGTACTACTACACTACATCACCAGGCCTTTTTAAAATTTTGGTTTGATTCAAGAGTTTCACTAAGGTGCCCAGGCTGGCCCAGAACTTGTGGTCATCCTGCCTCAGTCTTCCAGGTGGCTGAGATTATAGGCACGTGCCACCATGCCCAGATCAGTAAGGATAAATTTAATGAGCTAAGTTAGAAAAAATAAAAGTTTTTACTTTTTTCTTAAAATTAAGGAGACCTTTGGATTTTTTTCTTTTCCTTCATAACTGAAAATAATTCACATCTGATCAACTTACTAAAAGTGTATGTAATCGTTACCTCTA